TCGCCCGTCGCAGCCGCTGTGCCCGGGAGGTCTCGGGTTTGGTTTCTAAACCGAAGTGAGTAATTTCGGATGCGAACGCCCAGCCGGACTGCCAGCCCCACCGCGGTGGGGAGCGCTGCCTCCCGGCTGCCCCCTTCCCCTCCCAAAACTGGACAAAAAGGGGACTCCGGACGCTCCAGCGCGGTCTGGCAGCTGCCCGCCCTTGTTCACCGCTGCCCGCAAAGCTTGAGGCCAAGCGACCGTGTGAGCCCCGACTCCCTCCGGGCAGAGGGCCGAGCTGCCGCCAGCCCCGGCTGCTTTCCCCTGAGCTACGGTTAACCTGGCTGGTGAAGGTCAAATAAGCTGATGTCGATCTGGTGTTTTCAAAGCACACAGGTTGCTGCGCTGTGAATGTGGAAACCATCTCAACGGAAGATACTGAAGCAAGGAAGAACCAGATACATTCACAAAGATTGCTCTTGCTAACATTGCTTACATGGCTTAACATCGCTTAAATGGCTTTTGATAACATAGGTTGCTCTTGCTAACATTGCTTAAATGACTTTTGACAGTATTGTATAAAATGGCGCCCAGCGAAACGTCTGTAAACACACCGAGCGATAACAAAATGTGCTGGAGGCCCCCCCCATGGCGAGCGATAACCAGATGCGCGGGAGACCCACCGTATGACGGGTGAACGTGCTGGTTATAAAAGGTCTCCAAAGAACAGTAACGGGGGGGGCATGGCTTAGGAGACGACTCCCCATGTTCCCCCAGCGCTGAATAAACATACCTGCTTTACAGTTCTACCTGAGAGTTGTGAAGTTACCTTTCCGCGCGTCAGATACTTCCTCAAATTTTCTTTTTTTTTTTTTCCTCAGTCTGACTGTTGAATAATTGGTGTTTCTACAGAAACATTGGATGCTGAGTAGCAATGTGTGCAACCGCTCCTGTCTTAACTGACTTGACTCCAGATTCTCCCAGTGGCCTCTCCCTGCTCCCTCTTCTGCCCTGTCTGCTGGTGTCCCAGGGACTTCCTTCATGCCCTCCGTACTTCTCCACCCGACACTGGCAGCGTGGGTGAAACGGACCAGCCTGGCACAAAGACCGTGACCTCCCCAAGAATTTAAACAGAGCCTGGTGGCCTGCAGCGGAAGAAGCCATCTGCTGTCGACTGCATTTCCAGTGGCCAAAGGACGCCTAGTGTGGAGAACTGCTGATGTTCCTTTTAATGTCGTTTAAAAAGTATTAGCAGAGAATTGTGAGGTTTCTGTGTTGGCATTAATTCTCAGAGACTTCCAAAAATGTTCAGGAGTCGTATAAAGCACTCAAAAGAGGCAGTGGTGGTTTGTTTGATAGAATTAGTGCTTTGAAAGAAATTCCTAGCCAAGTTATTTTGGAAGACTAAATTAAATCTGAATGGTCCTTGTAAACCTGTGTTATACAGATAATGTTGGCTTCTACCTACATCAATAATCTGCTCCAATCACGTCATACTCCTTCAGGAGGAACTACGGAGGGGTTGTGTGTCACGGGCTCTGATTCACTGCTTAGTAACGGTGCAGAAGGGACAACAGGAGGCGTTCAGAGCTGCCGTGGCTTTGGCAGGGAGGAGCGAACATTCAAGGATCAAGTATGTAATCTGCTCGAGGGTGGGGGAGTTTCTAGGAGATGGGCACAGCTCCACTTATTTACAGCTTCGTTGGGATATGCAGATCGGGACTTCGTAACTGCTGTCAGAGGGGATGCGGGCACCTGAGGGTACCTCAGTGGTGATTGACAGTGACTGCAAAGGAACGTTCTCACAGAGCTGTGGTGTGTGTGTTACCAGGGATGGGCCCAAAGAGCAGCTGTTAATGTTGACATTCCTTATTTTTCTACAGGTGAACGAAGCACTTTTTCCTGGGCTTACCTGGACTAAGCCACCGTCATCTTTCAAAGGCTCAACACCTTCACTGTATTTTCTGCAGCACTCACCTGGTGTCTGCTGATGGAGACAAAGGTATGCAAATAGAAAGTGTAAATATACACCCTCACAATTGTAGCTTTTGCTTCTGGAGCAGAACACTGGATGTTTAGAGCTCAGATGAGCAATTTAAGTTCTCCATTGTCAGAGAGGGCTTGAAATTCTGTTTTGAGTAAGCCCAACCACCCCTGTTGTCTAAAAAACAATGTTTAACATTAAAAATTACTGAAGAATTTTACCATTTAATTAGCTACTGAAGTTACTATTCTGCTTGCTTGCAATTACTTGAGAGCGTCTTCATGCGGCTCTGCACTAAATCTAACCCTTTGCCCAGATATTGCGGATTCAAAGTGCCACTCGGAGTCTGAGCAGGAAGTTAGAAGCACAGCAGAATAAATTGTTCTTTGTGCACACGTGGCTGAGCAAACATCGAGACAGGTGTTCTGATACTCTCTTACTTTTTTGGATTTAATATTCAAAGTGGTTTAAGTAGGTATGATTTTCCCATCAAAATTATAAATGACCCCAAATTCCTAAAGAGCTGACGGCTACTCAGTGTATTTTTGCAAGGCCTGTAGTCACAGCAGCAAACTTCCAGGTCTTTGAGATGCGTTCAGCAGCTGCTGGCTGCCAGCCTCCAGCTGCGGGCGCTCACCCTGCCTGTAGGCCTGTAGCGTGTTGTGCGTGCGTGACTGTAGCTTGCTAGCTCAAACACGTCCTCACATTTGGAGTCGTGAGACCAGAATTTGTTAAAAAATTGTAACAGAATTTTTAAACAATCCCGTAATGCTAAATTGCATAGAGGAGGGTGGCAAGGAGTCCCCGTGACTGGCAGCTGGGGCTGCCCCAGCAAAGGGGCTTGCCAGAGACCCCAGAACTCTAGGGACGGAGAGCAAGCAAAAAGGGCTTGTTCAGAGCATCACCAGCTCCCTCTGGGATTCACGTGCACATTCTGCCCTATTCCTCATTTCTCACCCCTTTAGTGCCCCAGCCCTGCCCCGGCTCCCCCGGTACGAGATGCCTTGTGTGCGGCTCTGCCAAGAGAAGGCGTATGGGTGTGACAGCCAGCATTTACTTGATTTGATTTAAACCGTGCATTGAAACAGTAGTTTCACCCAACTTTGATAACAATGGGTAAGTAAACCTCAAGATTTTGTCTTCAAAACATCCTCTCTGGGGTGTATTTGTTTTCAACCATCATCTGTTCGTCACAGCCAGAGGGGCCCTGTATCCATTTACTTTGCAGCCAAAATGCGCTGTAGGCAGTGGGACAAGAGGTGAATCCTGCTCTAAAATGCTGTGAAGTACTTGCGTTTAGCTTTTTCAATTTTTAAGAATTCAAAATAACGACTTCCTTTAGAAAAAAATCTTTCCATTAACCCCAGCTGTCTCAGCATGACTGTGCTAGAGCGTCTGGAATCTCCTTTTTGTCCAGTTTGCAAGAATATCCACGCATGAATCCAACTGTCCATTTCTCTCAAAAACAAATTTTAATATAAAATAACGGCAACTGAAGAGAACCGCAATGCACAAATCAGTTTTACTCATATAAAAATGATTCCTTCACAAACATTTTAATAGGGATAATGCAAAGGCGTGCAATATTTTCATGTAATCATGCACTAGTCAGAGTACACGACATCATGTACAATTTTTCAGGTGATTGTTCATATCCAAGTTTGTTGGGTGGTTTTTTTTTTTCAGCTCTTCTGTTTAAGAGTCAACTACCCGGGACAGGGATTATCTTAAATTGTAAGACTTGCCAAGATGCAAGGACTACGTGGGTACGAGGTGCTACCTCAAAGTTGATAATGAGCAGAGACGCCAGTGAGGCGCCTTGCCACCACCTGGTGACCCGTTCTGCTACTAGGAAGGAAAGGGGAAAGGCAGCACAGAAACTCCAGCACTCCAAGGGCAAAAGGGTTTGCTTTAGAAGAAACAAACAACAGGGCTTTCAGAGCCTACACAGATTAGCACACTGGGACACAATGTTGCCAGGGATTCATGTCATATTCCACTCGTTCTAGGCAAAGTTGTCAGTCAGCAATACTATTTATCTGCCTCTCAGAATCACAGAAGCTTGAAATCCACAAGTTTTTCTTGACATGTTCAGGTGAACCCTGTAAATAACGGCAAGGTCATGGCGTTTGATCACGCTCTGCAGCTGCAAAGGAAGAGACGTGCACTTCAACAACATTTCTATTTCATTTTTAAATGTTGTTTTTAATTATCCTTACAGCAAGCTACCTCTGCGTGGCAGTTACACGGCTCTAGCCAAACCCAGACATTTAAATGGAGTTACTGACAGTACGTCGTATTTTATCTTTCTGATCAAACCATTCCAGTTCCGCAGCTCGCAGCAGTAGGATATAAAAATTGTTATTAAGCTTCTATTTAAAAAAATCCAAAACAACACAGATCTGTATTACAGACTTCCTATAATAAACAAAGTATTCCTGTATTACATAAAAACATATACTAAGAAAAAAGTGATTCTTTTTCTTTTGGCATAGTTTCTTTTTAAAACCATTTATTAAAAATCTCCACCAGTGCATCTGCTGCCCCCAGAACTAGAAGGCAGCATTTCACAAAACAAGTCCATACAATTATTTACATTTGTTCACATCTTAGATCGTTCCATTTTCAACGCTGGATCCGTTAACTGAAGACTCAACAATCAGCCTTGGCTCTATCAGTGCATCCCAACTCTCCGTTATCTGAAAACAAGATACAGACAGTACTTAGCATGTACGAACTATACAGGCAGACGCAATTTCTCCTACGTGATGCTTTGTCCAGGCTCGAACAGCACTACTGAACAAAGACCACGGATCCTTCCTGTGATTCATCGATCTTCTTAACAACCCTCAACCTGCCTGACACCCCGGGTAAGAAAAACAGGGCGTGGAATGAATAACCTTGTAAAAACTGATACTCCACCTAGACATGATACTGTTTATTTGATTAGCCAAAACAAAAAGTTACACAGTTTGATGACTGGTTTTGAATCTAGTTAATTGAATAACATGCAAGAAGTGATTCTTCTCTTGTAATCCTGCACATTCTTGCTAGAAAGTAACAATTAGTTTTGCTTTCATTTGTTTCAATCAATCAGATGCATTACTATACAGGGAATCTCGCTGAGACCAACGGAGCCGTAAAGCCGGGCAGGTATCAGCTATGCAAAACTTGTAACAGGCTTCAAAAGAGGACACCCGCATACCTTTGTATCCTGAGGAACAGCGTACTCTATCAGTTCTGCGCCATCTGCAGACTGGTAAACCAGATCGAATTTCCCTGGCTCTTTAGCAACTTTAAAACAAACAAACAACTCCATTAACTACAGGCAAAAAGGTTTAAATGTTTACCGTGTTTAGCAAGCTAGTCAAAACCAGGGTTTTTTTGAGCTGGGTGTTTGGGTTCATACTTGTAACCAAAAAAATCTGAGTTAGAACCGA